ACTGGTCTCGATGCGAAAAGAAAATGATGCCGGTGTAGAGTGGAAGGCTCTGGTTTCCGAGTGTTCCTGCGAACCAAGGGCTGTGCAAATGATCTGGTTTCAACTGTCATCCGTCGATCGTGCAACTGACTCGATGCGAAGAACATGGTGTAGAATGTAAGGCTCTGGCTGCTAGTGTTTCTGCAAAGCAAGGACTGTGCAAATGATCTGGTTTCACTTGTCATCCGTCGATCGTGTAACTGAACTCGATTCAAAGAACATGGTGTAGAATGTAAAGCTGTGGTTGCCTGTGTTTCTGTAAAGCAAGGGCTGTGCAAATGATCTTGTTTCACTTGTCATCCGTCGATCGTGTAACTGGTCTCGATGCAAAGAAAATGATGCCGGCGTAGAGTGGAAGGCTCTGGTTGCTAGTGTTTCTGCAAACCAAGGGCTGTGCAAAGAATATGGTGTAGAATGTAAAGCTGTGGTTGCCTGTGTTCCTGTAAAGCAAGGGCTGTGCAAATGATCTGGTTTCAGCTGTCATCGGTGAATCAACACAATTAGACAAAGAAAAGACCATACATGTTTATTTCTAAAATATGCTAGGACACTGATGCCGATGTACTATGTCTATGGTGAATTCAAATGAGAGATATGACTGGGAAGTGTTCCGAGGGACTTCGAAAATGGGCTTCTTTTCTCTTTTCAATCATAATGTTTTTTCACGCCGAGGTTCTCTTTCTTGCCCTTTTTAATTTCATTTTCTTGGATTTTCTCCCTTTTTGCATTTTCACTTTTATCATTTTTTCATTATTTCTATTTCGCTTCCTTTCCTTTTTAATTTTAATTTCATTTAATTGGAGGTATTTTTCCTTAATTCTTTTTTCTTTTCTTCAAGTTCCATAGTCGAAACCAGACAACAGCAAATGGAAGCAGTAGGGCAGCAGTAGCCTACGTCTTTCATCATTTAATCTTACTCTAACTTTTGACCTCTTTTTTACATCCAGCAGTTTTTATCAGGCAAAGGAATATTTGAATCAAATTGAGAAAATGCAATAATTTCATGAACTGCAGATATTTCTAACGTTAAGAAAATAACAGTGAGGCACAACAAAAGAAAAAAGAAAAAAGAAAAAAAAACCTACTAGCAGCGATTCCCGTCATGTAAACATGACCAATATCAAATGATTGTTTTATGAATACAGTGGCTCAGTGACGAGAAGACCGTTGATTTTGCTATACGATATGATGACTGAAAAGTACACACGTCTGCAAGCTGGACAACTTTTAATTATCAATGGTTATAATATATAATCAACCAGTTGCCTCGACGTTTTTTGAGATAAATTAATTAAGGCCCCGTCCACACGTATCCGGAAATTTTTGTATCCGCAAATTTTGTTTTTCGGATACGGGTTGCGTCCACACGTGTCCGCAAATTTTTGTATCCGTATCCGCAAATTTTACGAAAACGGATACGTGTGGACGGTGAAAACCATTCGAATACGCTGCGTGTGGACGCGAACATTTTTGTATCCGCAAAAAAAAATTTGCGGATACAAAAATTTCCGGATACGTGTGGACTGGGCCTAACATGCAAGTGTTCAAATTTTGACTTCTTTTAAGACGTATGTTCTCATTTATGTACAAAACGAAGACAGAGAGGAAAAACGCAATTCAATAAAGTAATTTCACTGAAACGAAGTTAATTCGGGTATAGTCCGAACATGCTGGAATAAAGGCCAATATTTCTCGACAAGCAGTTAGGGAAAGTTCATTTAATATGCCGATGAGGAGGGGGGAGGGGCAAAAGAAACCTTGCTAGTTTGTAGGAAGTTAAGCATTTCTCTCGTCATGATTTCAGCCGTAAATTTCGAAGTAGAAAGAGTTATTGCGGCGCTTTAGCAGCAATCAAGGCTTGCATTTCTAGCGCACAATATATTGGTTATTGTACTCAACAGTCATATCCTAATTCAAAAGCAGTAGGAGCCGTGTCATATGCTGCGCAGATATTCTTTCTTAGTCATTACTCTTTAACACAACAGTTATTGCTCAGTATTAAGCTCAGCGCGCTTTTTCATGTTCTAACAGCAAATTTGTGGTACTATATATGTTGCGCAAACGATTCCAATTCAAACACAAAAGGTAGTGCTTAGTATTTTAAAAGCCTGGTTATCCTTCAAATCCTAACTTTATGTTTAGTAGTGTTTACACCTATTGCAAAGAACGTTGTCGGTTGGATATCTGAAAACAGAAATCTGAGACCGTTTGGAATTGTGGGGACTGAGTGTTTTCTCGTTAAAAATTTAAGGCCCCGTCCACACGTATCCGGAAATTTTTGTATCCGCAAATTTTTGTATCCTCAAATTATTTTTTGCGGATACGGGTTGCGTCCACACGTGTCCGCAAATTATTGTGTCCGTATCCGCAAATTTTACGAAAACGGATACGCGTGGACGGTGAAAACGATTCGAATACGCTGGGTGTGGACGCAAACATTTTCATATCCGCAAAAAAAAATTTACGGATACAAAAATTTTCGGATACGTGTGGACGGGGCCTAATATACACTTACTCAGATAGTTTGCCAGCGCAGGTCATCGATCGAAGTTAGTATATCAAGGTATTAACTTTTTGCGAACTACTAATTAAAACCACGAGCACTTTACAGCTTACAACCCACAATTCCTTTCGGTTTCAGATTTCAGATCCCCGACCGACAACGTTTTTTGAAATAGATGTATATGTTGCGGAGGTGATATTTCAGTTCTTTGTCGGTGATCTTTGAACACGGCAGTTCTTGCTCATGATCATGTTTAGTTCTTCTTCTGATCCTGGTAAAGTAGTCTTGATGATCGCTTCGACTTTCTGCGCAAATGAAGCGTCTTCGACCACTTTCAGCGGTGACATGGATCGCGATGTCTTTTTCGGGCGCCAAGCCTTTTTATGGTTTCTAGAGAGATAAAGAAAAGGATGGATGTCTATGAATTTAGCTCTTTGTCTTACTCATATTTGTTTTTTAAACGCCATTCAAAAGATGGTATGATAATTATACATAAAGGTGATGATCATGATCATGATCTTGAAGATGACGAAGATTGCGATGCGCGATAGCGATGATAATTATACATAATCGCGATGCATGATGGCGATGATGATGATGACGACGAGGATCGAATGGCACAATAGCGATGATGATGACTATGACAAGGATCGCGATACACGATAGCGATGATGATGATGATAACGAGGAACGCGATGCGCGATAGCGATGATGATGATGATAATGACAAGGATCGCGAATCACGATAGCGATGATGATGATGATAATGAC